GCAGGCCCCGGCCTCCCCGGCCACACACGGCCCACCGTGAAATTTCCAATTAGGCTGCGGCCGCCCAGGCCGCCCTCGGCCCCGTAGGCAGCGAGGCGGGAGGTGATGGATTACCTTGGGGTTCTCCAGGATCCCGGCTTCATAGCTGTGGAGAAGGAAGAGAGGGACAGACGTGGCTGTGAGCAACACTGGTGCGCACTATCCTGGTGCATTCCCGTGGGCTCAGCCTGGTGGAGCTGCCTCCGGGGGGTCCCATGAGGATGGGAGCCAATCTGTGTTCCAACTCCCAAGAATTTTACTGGAGACCCATGGAGGGACTGCTAGATTTGAGGGAGAGCAGAGGTAACGGGCACAGCTGCCGTGGGACACAAATGGCTCTAGAGATGGAGATGCTGGGAATGGAGCTGCCCTGGATGGACAGGGCCACTTCTCCCTTGTCCCCAAAGGTGCGACACGGCAGCATGGCTGGCCATGGAAAACGGGGGCTATGAGGGCACAGGCTGTGGGCACTCGCCCCGTCGGGTGCTCACCTGATGTGCATGAGGTTTTCATCCATGCTCCAGGGCGTCTGGGGCGTCACCGGCACCGGGATCCCGTGTTTCTGCAGGGAGCAGGGAGCCTCCATCAGCGACCCCAGAGCCCGGGCACACGGTGCCCGCAGCCGCCCCCGGCCCGGAGCCCATCTCCCTAACAAGGTCACCGCAGGCTCAATTATCCCCTGACTTCTCCACGGGGGAAATTGCCTGTGAAAACGAGGTGGATGCGCAGGGGAATTAGCGGTGGAGGCGACGGAGGCGAGCGAGAGGCAGCGGCCAAGACGACCCAGGCCGGGGGCCACGTGTTTGCCCGGGACTTTTCGAGCGGGTGCTGCCGGCCACAACGTCTCGGTGCAGCCCAGGTGTCGCGCTGGCCCCGGCACTGCTGCAGCGTCCGAGTATTCCTGGAGCTCAACCACAAACTGGAGCAAGGACGGGGGTGGATAACCATGGAAAGCCAGGACACGAGTGACCTGCTGGACCCCCAGCAGAAGCCACCTGCCAGCTCCCTCATTCCTAGCACTGAACCCCCCCATGGTTATCAGGTGTTTGACCTTAATTAATTAACACCAACCAATTAACACTGGGCTCTGCTGGTGCTGAGGGGCCCTCCCTTGCCTTCACACTCATCTCACCTGTGGCTGATGCCAGCTGCTTCCAGACCCGACTACATGCAGGGTTGTGGTTTACAGCCCTCCATTCCTCTAATTCCTAACCTGGATCATCCCTGGCCATGGGAGCACCCCAGGAAGGGAGCAAAACCCCAGCGAGCATCAGCTTGAGCAGAGCCCCGAATTAAAAAGGAAAGAAAAAAAAATCCCAAACACGTGTCCCATTTTCCCCCTAATAAAACCACGTTGCTCTTAATAACCATCCGAGCTGAAACTTTGTTTGGCAACATATGGAAAGCTCTGACCAATGTGCACAGATGACAAACACGGTCCCGTGCCAGCTGCGGTGGCTTTGGCATCACGGCCACCGCGTGGCCACCACCCTCCCCACAGCACCCAGGCGGCCTCGGCGGCAGCTATTTAAAACCAAGAGCAATTTTCTGGTTCCTGCGCAGCGCTGCCTTTCGCCTTGTGATTGATTGAGGCGAGTTGTCAAGCATTTCCATGGAGTCGCGAAAAAAGAAAGGTTCCCCGGTGGGCACTTAGGGAACCTGATGCAAAACTTCTAATATGTTTTATTGCAACTTGTACTTCAAAAAGGAAGGCACAACAAAGGGGCAGGTAGCTGCTTTTGTGCACGGCGCGAGGCGCCAGGCTGGGCCCCACTTCCGCAGAAAGCGGCTTGCAATTAGCAGCCAGGTAATTACGGGCCTTCGAGAAAGGAAGGGGAGAGAAAGAAAAAGAGGAAAGGAAAGAAAAGTCGGCGCCAGCCCCGGCCCCATCCCCTACCTCGGCGTAGTCCATCAGCTCGCGGCGCCCCGGGAAGCGGTGGTAGAACTCGGGCAGCCTCCATGGCGCGATGACCTGGCACGAGGATGAGAATGGGCGGCCTTCGTCCCAACCCACCGTGTTTCTCACATTTTTCCCTTCTGTCTCCCCAGCCCAGGTCCCATAGAGATTCCTTTCGTCCCTTCATGGGGCTGGACTCCTGCACTGTGTGACCATGGGGCCGCAGCAGATGATTCGGGGCATCCCCAGCCAGGGCTGGGCAGGAGGGGCCGCTGATGCCCCACAGCAACTGCTGCAACGGAGTAAAAAGAAATTCCCCTCCACCAAAATCAGAGCCAAATTTATCCAAGTTTGTCCTTACCTGGATGCCGGGACACAGTGCGTAGCAGGAGAGCTCGAAGCGCACCTGGTCATTGCCCTGAAACGTAGGCAGGGGACGCATGGGGACAGGCTCTGCCCCAAGCAGGGTGGCATCCCCCTGCGAGCAGCGTGCGCCCGCAGGAAAGGACAAGGGTCTGGGGAAACACACTGCAAAATCGGTGGGAACTGTTCGAAAGAAGAGTGGGAATGGCCAGAAAGGAGCAGGAAGGGGCTCAAACCTGCACTGGGCTGCGCTTCCCTGGGCTATGCCTTGGAAAACTCCGCTCATGCAAAGCAGGAGATCCATATTTTTGCTCCCTTCTCTGGCTCTGAGCTCTGAAACTCCTCAGGGAGGATTGTGTCATCTAAGGTCACAGCTCTCAGCACCAGAAACACGTGGGAAAT